GAAGAGGAAATAAACTAAATAAACATAACATAAATAAACATAAATTAAACAAAATAAACATTAAAAGATGCTCAATGACATTAGTATTCAGACAAATAAAAAATATAATACCATTTTGCACCTATCAGATTGGACAAAATTAAAGTTTAATACTATCAAGTACTGATAAAGATAGGGGAAATGGGGACTTTCAGACACTACTGGTTAGTGCAAATAATTTCAATACATTGTTGTTTTTTTTTTTTTGCTGTATCAAAATTTTAAATGCCAAATTCCGAAACACCTGTATGCATTCACAATAAGACATTTATGTATATTCACTGAAGTACTGTTTCCAAGAGTTCTAACCTGGAAACAAACTAAATGTTCAGCAACAGAAAAATGCCTACATAAACCATGGCGTATGGGGTAGATCTCTGATCTCTAATAATAATAGGACTAGACCTCCGTGACATAATTTTGGGTGAATAAGGCAATCTGAAAAAACTGTAGGCATGGGATATTACTGTTTACATTTTTAAAATACACAGAAAACAACACTATATATTTTGTATGCATTTCTACACATATATAAGTAAATCCATAGAAAAAAATCTGAAAGTATACAAACCAATCTGATAACAGTAGTTATCTTTGGGAAGGGGGATATAGGAGACTGTGATAAGAGGTGATAGACTTAGGGAACTTTAAACTTATCTGTAATATTTTAACTTTTTTTCATGGAGAATGTATTTATATACTATTTGCATAATTTTTTAAAAAAATTTAAGGAGAGTAAATAGGAAATAATGGAAAGGAGATAGTGTATGGATTATATTTTTTCAAGAAATTTGGGCCGGCCCAGTGGCGCACTGCTACAGTGCGCTGCTTGGGAGCGCGGCGGCGCTCCCACCGAGGGTTCGGATCCCACATACAGACCGGTTCCCGCTCACTGGCTGAGCGAGGTGCGGGCGCAACACTGAGGGTTGCCATCCCGTTGCTGGTCCTGGTCCGGTATGGGCACGACACTGAGGGTTGCGATCCATTGCCAGACATGAAAAAAGACAAAAAAGGAAAAAAAAAAAAAGAAAAAGAAATTTAATAAAAAAGAATTATTATTAATAATAAGAGAATAGGTAAGCAAACTTTTGGACACCTACTAGAGGGAAGATTAATGCAGACATTAACATAACATGTTATGTTATGTCAATACTTTAATAGTTATGTTAATATGTTAATACCATGAGAAATACTTATGGAATATCGAGTTTCAAAATTCTTGGAGTTTTAAAAATTAGTATAATTAAAACTTCTGGGTAATTTAAGGGAGCAACAATAAAATGTTTCCAAGAACTTGGAAATAAAAATTTATTTGAGAGGTAATTATAAAATAAAGGTACAATAAGTCAAATAGAAAAATCACCTTCAAGAAATATAGCGGCTTCCAGACTGACAAGATTTCACATAATTTGATTGACAATTTTGACATGTCTAAAGAAAGAAGGTATAGATAAGGGAGAGTCAGTAAAGCCAACATGGACAGAGCAGACTCATCAGTTACATAATCTTTTTGTGCCTTAGTTTCTCCATCTCTAAAATGAGGTTAATAGAGGTTGTCAGCAGCCCTATGGAGAAGCTCATGTGGCAAGTAACTGAAGCCTCCAGCCAACAACAAGCAAGCAACTGAGGCCTACCAACGACCATCAAGAAGGCCCTCACAAGGTGCAGAATTCTCAAACTTGGACTTCCCAACCTCCAGAACTGTAAAGAATTACTGAAGGCCCAAGCCCTAGAGAGGCCCACCCACCACCCAAGGGGATGCTGGGGTAGCCCACCACACACTCAACTGCACTGATACACAAGAGTTACCAGCAGAGCCTACAAATAGGAAAGGAAGTCTTTCCCCTCATAGCCCACTCCAGAGTAATAGAAGAAACAAGCACCCTACCAGATGACCAAACATCAACAAAAAAATACTAGGACTACAAATAAACAAGAAGATATGACACCACTGAAGGAATATGGTAATTCTCAAGTACCAGACCCCATAAAGTGGAATGTCTAAAAAGGAATTCCAAGCACTGATCTTAAGAAAACTTAAAGAGATAAGAGAATAATCAATTAGAGAACACAATGAAACAAGAAAAAAATATCCAGGATTTGAAGGAGAAAATTTACAAAGAGATCAATACCTTTAAAAAGAATTAGAAAAGTGAGGTTAATAGGGCCACCCCGTGCCTCACTCGGGAGAGTGTGATGCTGATAACACCAAGGCCACGGGTTTGGATTCTATATAGAGATGGCCGGTTGGCTCACTGGCTGAGCGTGGTGCTAACAACACCAAGCCAAGGGTTGAGATCCCCTTACTGGTCATCTTTTTTTAAAAAATGAGGTTAATAATACTATCTACTTAATAGGCTGTAGTGGATTGAATTATGTCCCTCCAAAACTTATCAAAGCTTGAATTGTGTCCCCCACGTCTTATATATTAGAAATTTAGCACCCACCATGACAGTTAAGAGGGTGGGAAGTCCTATTATGGTAATTGAAAGGTAGAGCCTTGAAGAGGTGATTGGATTGTAGGACCATGCAGTAGTGAATGGATTAAAAGTGGTGGTCAGAGACATAGTTCTGAGGGCTTTAAACAAAGAGGAGAGTCTGTCTTTCTCTCTCTCTTGCTCTCTCTGCTTGTACCACCTTGCAATGCAAGACCCCTGTGTCACTGTCGCCACCACCAGATGGACTTTGGACTTCCCAGCCTCAGGAACTGTAAGCAATAAATTTTGTTTTCTTTATAAATCACTCAGTTTCAGGTATTTTGTTATAAGCAACAGAAACGGAGTAATACATAGGGTTATTATAGAAAACAAAATAGCCCCTGAAACATAGTGAGGCATACACATTATTCAGGGAGGGAATGTGGTGGTCAGGTCAATACAAACTGTGTCACAGTTCTATCTCTCATTATCAGCCAGCATCCTGGTTTTCATACAATGGGCTCTTCCTTTAAGGTAATCAGTATGAATCAGCCTCTTGAGTCTGACCAGTTCTGGGACAGAGATCAAGTTTCTGAGACTGCAAGACTGAAGGCCTACCTGGACTGAAGTTGAAAGCACCAAGGCAATGCCAACCAGCAAGGCCTCTTGACAGCCAGCCAGCTACCTTTCTTAGTGACACCCCACCTCTTGCATACCTAATCTAGCCATACTTCCAAACAACTTGAGGCAGGCGATGGGGAGGTCTGTGCAGAAGGAATAAAAAGACTAGAAAAATAAGTTAAAATATTAACAGGTAATTGTGTGAAGGAATTAGGGGTAATTTTAATATTTTCTTTGCTTTATTTTTTATACTTTCCAAGTTTTCTTTAGTGAGCATGTATTACTTTAATATTTTGTAAACATGTTTAAATGATGGTGGGGTGAAGAAAAAGAGGGCAGTAGCTTGAAGGGGACAGGGAAGAGGCTTCTGAGGCTACAGGCTGAGGGGAAGATGTCAGGGAGTTAGGGGCAGAGCAGGAACGACCCTGTCCTTTCCTCCAAAATAAGATCACTTTCCCTGGAAAGACTTTTTCTCCCCCTGTGCACCTAGGCCTTGAAGTGGATTATTACATGCCAGTCATGGCATTTGTGTAGCTAGTAACTGCAATGGAAAGTTATTTGCTTGAGAATTTTAAGTGCATCACTGTACCTAACTGTATCAATAACTGGGTGTTGAACCTGAAAGTCCCAGATCTGAGTTCTTGAGCATTCCCTCCTTCATCATCATCATTACCAAATATTTGCTAGTCACCTCCTAGGTGCCTGGCTCTACGCTAAATTGGACAGTGGGGAGAGGGAGTGGTGCTGCTAGTGGAACAGAGGGAGCTTATGAGGAGAGACGAAATTTAGAGAAATGAAAAGATAAACGAAGACGCAAAGTCACTGTGGCTTGGGTGAGGTGGCTAGGGAAGGCATAGATAGATTCTTGGAGTTGGAAGACTTGAAAGGTCAATCGATCTAATTCTCCCGCGATTCAGAGAGCAGGTGGTACTTAAGCTGAGCCTTGAGAGGCGTACAGGATTTGGATAAAAAGAGAGCGAGGCGTGGCGTGGGGGGTCGCGGGCAGCAGATGGAGGGAGCAAAGGCACTGGGGCCAGGCTGTCCCGCGGGTTGCCTGCAGATTTCTTTTCCAGCCTCCCTTTCCCCTTTTATTTTCAGCTGACTCCTTGTTGCCTCAGTCTTGTGACCTACGTGCGCACGAGGGAGCCTTCCAAAGCTATGATCTCTTCCAGCTCGAGTCCTGCCAAGTCCGCCCTCAGGCGCTGCTCCCTCCCGGGCCAGTTCCCCGCCTGGGGCACCCTTTTCTTCAAAGCGCACTGCTGCCCCTTCCTTCCCATTCCTGCCGACTCGCCAGTTGCTAAGGAATAGCGTACCCTAGGGTGTGTGAGAAGTTTAATCCGAGTTTTTAGTCAAAATCTAAAATATAATAAAGACCAAGAAATCCAGTTCGTTAGACCTGGAACGCAAACGTATCTTTCCTTTCAGTTTTGAAGTTACCATAGGTTCCTAAAACTAGTGGAATAGAAGAAAGAAAAAATGGCCTCCTTAACATCCTGCATGCACAGCAAGTGTGAAAAACTGAATAGTCACTGGAGGTGTTTCGAAAATAAACCTCTGCAAGCACATTGCCTACGATGACACATTCTCGGCCCCGGGGCAGGCGGGCGAGTCGCCGCGGCGCAGCGCGCAGCTGCCAGGACCCGCCGAGCTCGCCCCGCCTCCCGCTAGCGTCTACTGCAAGGTGGAGGCAGTGTCGCGGCCGGTGACCTGCTGTCGGCGACCCAGCTGTAGGCACTGGGTCCAGGAGGTCTCCGAGAGTTCAGCGGAGGGTGCAGGAGCCATACGCGGAGGCAGGACAGGACTAAGGGTGGTAGCGAGCGGCGACGGGGCCCGTGCGACCGGGCCCTAGACCGCGGGAGGCCCGCGCTGGGGAGGGGGGAGGGCGGCCCTGAAGGTCGCTGGAGCCGGGAGCACTGCACGGGACCGCCCGCCCCAGGCGCGAGCGGCTGGAGGGCTCTGCACGGCCTGGCACTCCAGCTTCCCACAGCGAGTGTGCAGCTGAGTTGGAGCCTAGTTCCTTAGGGACCGACGGACCCTGCTGAAGCCAGGGCTCTTTATCTGGGAAGATAGAAACGTGCCGTGATGAGGAGCCGGAGTAACTCAGGGGTCCGTCTGGATGGCTATGCTCGGCTAGTGCATCAGACCATCCTGTGCCATCAGGTAAGTGTAGCGGTGTCTCCTGTAATCACTGAGGATGTGGAGTGTCAGAGCCTCGACAGAAATCCTGGGTGAACGTGTGTGTGTCTGTGTGTGTGTGGGTGGGTGGGTGGGTGTGTGTGTGGGTGTGTGTTAGCCGTTAGCCACTGGTCACAGAGTCAGGGCTTCAGAGCCCCCTCCCCCACTGTCCCCCAAGCCACAGCTGGGTTCCAGGGCACAGCTGCAAGATGTACTGATGCTTGTTTATTGACACCTCTACTTCCCCGTGTTTGAGTGTCATCTCCTTTCCCTTTCCCCCAAAGAAAAAAGCTAGAGGAACATGTAGCCATTTTAAGACTAGACTTGTGAAGGTCAGAGACACTTTGTATATACTGTATTATTTCTGTTTTTTCTACACCTTTATTACTGATTTTTAGTTGATAGTTCACTCTTTCTAGTTGGAAAGTTAAAACTTTCTTTTAATAATACCTTAAATAATGCCTTTATTTTAATAATACTCTTTAATAATGCACTTAATAACACCTTAAATAATGCCTTTATTTTAATAATACCCGCATTTCAGACTTGTGAGACTTCAGCGAGCTCTTTCTCCCTATTCAAGATAGCATTTGCAAAGAGTACAAACTTTCTGTTGTAAGATGCATAAGTTCTGGAGATCCAATGTACAGCAGCATGGGGACTGTAGTTAATAATACTTGAATATAAATGTACTTGAAATAAATATACTTGAAATTTGCTAAAAGAGTAGATCTTAAGTGCTCTCACCACACACAAAAAAGGTAACTATGTAAAATGGTGGATGTGTTAATTAACTTGACTGTGGTATTCATTTCACAATGAATATGTATGTCAAATCATCACGTTGTACACCTTAAATATATACAATTTTTATTTGTCAATTATGCTTAAAGCTAGGGTGAGGGAAGATAGCATTTGCCTGCAATTGGTCAGAAGAAGAGGAGGTTATAAAACTCAAAAGTGCGGAAGTAGAAGACCAAAGTCTCTAAGAAATCCATTCGGTAGATTCTGTTTCCTAATATTTAAACACCCTGTGGTTACCTGACTGTCCTTTTTTTCTTCACCTTGCAGAATCCAGTGACCGGCTTGCTTCCAGCCAGCTATGATCAGAAAGATGCCTGGGTCCGAGATAATGTGTATAGCATCTTGGCTGTGTGGGGTTTGGGCCTGGCCTATCGGAAGAATGCAGACCGGGATGAGGATAAGGCAAAAGCATATGAACTAGAGCAGGTATTCAGAATGAAAATACGAAGAGATCTGCAGCTGTGGGTGGTGGTGGTGGTGGTGGTGGTGGTGGTGGTGGTGGTGGTGGTGGTGGTGGTGGTGGTGGTGGTGGTGGTGGTGGTGGTGGTGGTGGTGGTGGTGGTGGTGGTGGTGGTGGTGGTGGTGGTGGTGGTGGTGGTGGTGGTGGTGGTGGTGGTGGTGGTGGTGGTGGTGGTGGTGGTGGTGGTGGTGGTGGTGGTGGTGGTGGTGGTGGTGGTGGTGGTGGTGGTGGTGGTGGTGGTGGTGGTGGTGGTGGTGGTGGTGGTGGTGGTGGTGGTGGTGGTGGTGGTGGTGGTGGTGGTGGTGGTGGTGGTGGTGGTGGTGGTGGTGGTGGTGGTGGTGGTGGTGGTGGTGGTGGTGGTGGTGGTGGTGGTGGTGGTGGTGGTGGTGGTGGTGGGTGAGGGGCAGGAGCAGGAACTGAAGGAGACGTAACTCACAAGAGCTAAGAGAACTGTATTTTACCTTTTCTCCTCATTCTTCACCTTCCTCAAGTTACATTCCAAAAAGCTTTCTTTTATTGTACTGAAGTTGGATTTTTTGCAGTGGAAACTTGAAACTTGCTGACTCAGGGGGAGAGGACAGTCTGTTCCATTACAGCGGAAAATCCTATCCTGAGATCTTTCCTAAAATTTATAATCCTTTTTCTAAGTAAATGATCTTGCAGTCTCCACTGTATTTATTCTCATTGAGGAAAATGTTTGGGGGCAGCTATCTACTGTTTTCCTTCATTTTAAAAAAATGATTGGTGGTATTTGTATGAGGGTAACTGACACAAATCAGCAGATCTTCCAAACTAGACACAGTAAAGACTGTTTATTTGCTGATGTTTATAGCCGTGGCCACTCTTTCAGGCCTGTTGCTTTTTTGTCCTGGGTAAAATGAGGTCAGAGCCAGAAGATGCCTTTAAGCCAACTTTTAAGACCCCTCAGTAAACACCATCCTTTATAGAACTGTTTAGACACACTGGGAACTGCATCGTCTTGAACAACTAAGAAAGCAATATTCTGGTCTTCATGGGACTTTTAACATTGGAGTACCGTGCTGTCAGTTGTAAGATTATATGAATTCTTTTCCATCAGCGGGAAAGATTCTCTCTATACCAGCCATTTTCTCCAGTGGTCTCCCTTAAATTTAGGCAATCTGAGCTCCAGTATCAGAATATTGAGATTTGGTTACTTTTAAGAGTACCAACTTATTGGGGGTTACAGTTCTTGGCAGTGGGAAAGTCTTACCAGCAACAGCAGCCATTATTGAGAGATACATAGGTCCACCAAAAAAAGGTTTTTTTGAGTTTTTGCTCTAGTCCAGGAAGTACAGATCAATATTTTATGACTTTTATAGAAATAAGAACTATTTGGAAAATATAGAGGAGTGTTAAAAAATCACCTATCATCTTGCCCCCTGCCCGATTCCTCCATCCTACTCAATGTTTTGCTATTTTGATCTCGGTATTTTGTTTGGTTGTTTATTTTGCTAGAAATTAATATCAGTAGAACTGGAATTCCATACCTGGTATAATTTTGACCAATTTTTTTCAATACCACTAGAAGAAATTTGTTGTCTCCCTGTTGACTAACCAATCTGCAAAGTTGACATTTTTCCTTATTTGCCCCAGATAGAAAGGATTTAACAGAGAAACGGGGAAAAAATAGGGAAACATTGAATTGCCCATTCTAAAATTTTAATGTTCCATTAAATAATTTTTCACAAAGCCCAAAAGTATTTTTCATACCACCTCAATGATAACTTTGGAATGTTTTAAAACATTATTGGACAAGGGACATAAAGAATAAGTACAATTTGTAGCAATATACATGCTACTAATATTGATTTGATCAACATATGTCAACATTGAACCCCCAAAATATGTATAATCAATTATGATTCAATAAAGAAGAAAAGGAAAAAATAGAAAAAAACAAAACAAAACAAATGATAATCTAAATACTAAATATTTGTAGCATTATATTTCAATTTTTAAAATGGTTTTTATTTTGTATTAATGCTTTTTAATTAATGTCTTTTCATGTTTTCCATTGTTATATGTGTTTATCAGGTAGAAATCATGTGTACGTGTTATTGAAATACATAATCTTATTACAATATGTTGGTTTATGATAATAATAAATGTGTATTTATTATTATATTGCTTTTTTATAGCAAACCTCTGAAACTTTTAGTATAACCCTATCATAGAAAACTAATATGCTGTTTATTATTATGATTACTCATTATTAATTAAAACATGTAAATAAAATGTTATGAAAATACAAAAATAAATAAATAAATAAATAAATAAATAAATAAATAAAACATTATGGCAATAGGAAACATCTTTAAAAAAGAGAAGTTTCTGTGGGAATTCTAAAATTTCAATGAATTTGCATTATGAATTAAAAGAGATTTTACTATTAGGTCTTGTTAAATTTTTTTCAACCCTGATTTAGCATTAATCCAAACCAGGCATCAGAAAACCATCTCTGTAAAGGGCCAGATAGCACATATTTTTGGTGTTGTAGGTCACGTGTAGTCTCTGCCCAACTACTAATCTCTGTGGTTGTTGCACAAATGCAGCCAGCGACAATATATAAACAATGAGCATGATTATGTTCCAACTTACAAAAATAGCTGTGGGCTGGATTATTCCCTGATCTAGATGAGTGGTTCTAAACTCTGGCTGTCAATTGGAATCACTTGGGAAGCTTTTAAGAAATACCGCTACTGGACTGCACTTAGAACAATTAAAATAAGAACCTCTGAAAATGAAGCCCAGGGGCATCAGTATTTTAAAAAAAAAAAAAAATCCAATAAATCCATAAGTTAAATTCCCACCTACTGTCAATTTTCCATTACTGTGTGGATTTTCCCAAAACATTGATCATTCATCATTTCTATCCTTCCTTCCAATTCTCACCTTGGTTTCTCTCACTGAAGTAATGTGAGACAACTGAAGAAAATTCTGCATAAAAAGGGGACAAGGGTTTAGGTAACTATAATATCCTAGATTGAGAATACAATTATGCACATAAATGTTTTCACAAATACTTTTTAGTCTTAGGCACACAAGTATAGTCTCATACCCCTAAAAAATAAGTAGGCATGCAAACAGAGATATATCTTTGGCTGCCTCCAGTTCACTTCTTCCTCGGTTTTGTTCTCTTTGTGTATTCTCTCATCTTTTCTCATGACTTTTTACCTTCGTGAGAATGACTTCCAAAACTTCATCTTTAACTCTGACTTCCCTTCAATTTCAAACCCTGGTTTAGTCTGTTCATCAGTTTCGCCTGCATATCCTGTGGCTCCTCAAACTCAATGTGTCTGAACCCCCACCTTCCCAACTAAAAACAAACAAAATAAACTACCAAGCAACAGCAATTCACCAAACATTCTTTTTTCTTTTACTGGTGTCCTCATTCTACCAATCACCCAGGCAACATTACTTGGAGTATTGCCCATAGTGTGTTTCGTGGAACACTAGGCCAACTAAGTTTGGGGTTACATTAAACAGTAGGTTTTTTTACTCCATAATTTGTCAAAGCCTTTGATGTGCTAATGTGCATTTTGATTTTAAGATGGGAGTGAATTTTACAGCCTTTCTAGAATTTCTTGGACTAGTATTCTAAAAAACAGCACTTAGAGAGCTGCCCTTAGGGTGATTTTTGACTTGTCCCTCTTGCCTTTTGATACATGCAGGCCAAAGTCTGTTGATATAATTTCTCTTGAATTCATCCCCTCCTTTCTCTTCCCTTCTGCCTCGACCCTAGTCTAACCACTTATCACCTTACACTGTTATGAAATCACAGTTATGTCATTTTCATCCTCAACAATCTTTCTGTGGCCCTCATTTCTCTACAAGTAAAGTCCAAGCATTTTGGATTGATAGTCAAGGCTCTCTATGGTTTGGTCCTAGCCTCCATTTTCAATATTATATCACACCGATGCTCTCCATTATACTTCGAGTTCCAGCCAGATTGGTGTCTTCATTACTCCTCTAATAATCCCTTAATAAAAATACTTAACATTTGTATAAATACTTTTCATTTTACAGCACACTTTCCCATAATTGCCAGTATCTTATTCTCACAATACCCTGTGAATTAGATACTATTCTCACCAATTTACTAGTGAAAGATTGAAGCATAGAAATGAAGCTAGAATTTGGTGGTGCCATGATTATAACCTGGGTCTTATGACATCAGACTCAGTCTTGTTTGGATTTTTGCATCCATGGAAGCCATGGACATTGCCACCTCCAAATCTTTTCACAGGCTGTTTCTTTTACATGCCTGTTCTCTTCTAGTCTGAAATAATATACTCCTTTGAAAGCCTAGCACCAATCCCACTTTTTCTATGGTCCCTGTCCTCACAGACCACTCAATTATACAATGATCACTTCTTTCTCAGGGCTCCTTTCTTGGAATTTCTAGATCACTCATGGTCAGTGCCATTCAACATATTTCTTTTTCATTTAACAGACTTTGTGTAATTGTCATGTGTCAAGCCGTGTAATAGATATAAAAAGAAAATGGGACAAAATGCTTATATGTAGCTCTTAACTTGTGGAAAATTTCAAACTTATGGAAAAGTTGCAAGAATAGTCAAATGAACATATTTGCATATGCTCTTTATCTCAATTCACTAGTTGTTAACATTTTGGCACATTTGCACACTCCCCTACATACACATACACACGCAAATACATATATGATGTTTTTGGTAAGCCATTTGAGAATTACTTGCATAAATGAGTTTATTTTTTTAAATAAAATCTGCTTAGTCTATTGACTTAAGGTTCTTTTTCTGAACCTGGTTTCTTTCCCCTTTTCTCAAGAAATTCATAGTCTGATAGGGGAGACTATATATAAGCGAATAGTTACAATACATTAAGATAGCTCCTGTAGGTACTGTATCTATTGAAGATAAGCACTAAGTTCTGTGGGAACACACAGAGGTAAGAATGTCTAAGCTTCCCTTGAACAAGGAGAGGAAGGCTTCACAGAGGAGTTGAGTTTTAAAGGATAATTATGAATTGCTGGATAGACTGTGTTGTAGTATAGTTTAAAATATCTGTCACATCTCCCTTGTCGTTGTGCTCCACAAAACTTAGTAGAGATTCAATAAATATCTCATTGTACATATACCTGGAAAGAGAAAGGGAGAGAGAAAGAGAGAGATTAATACTTACACAGATATGGTTGTATACAGTTACATTTTCTTATATAGTCAGTTCACGAATACATAGATCCATTTCCTCAAAAAGAGTAGGTAAGAGGGAGTGTCACTGAGTGGGGGTAAAAGCCTTGGTGTACACATATGCATGTATCATTAATGCCATCTAGTGCTCTGAATCAGAAAACAGCCAGTTTGGAGCAACACAAAGTACAGATACCTCCTATCATTTCTACCTCCCCGTGCTTTCTATTCATTTTATCCTGACTTGGAAGTTAGAACTTGAGGACAGAAATGGCTGATAATGGCCATTCCAGGAGGATAAGAGTACATGGTAATCAGGAATGCTCCACTAGATCCATGATTCCCCATCTTTGCTGCTTAAGTTAAAGAAAATTTAGATGGGAGTAGCAAGGCTAGATGGTAGAGGGTTGATGTGTTGGCAAGAGACAAAGTGGCTAAGGTAGTACAATAGAAAAGAAGACAGTGAAGTGAGCACAGGATGCTTGCTTCTTACAGGATGTTATAAAAGTTGAGTCTCATACTGGTTGATTAGAGGCTCTTAATGTGTTGGGGGTATTTTTTGTTTGTTTGTTTGTTTGTTTGTTTGTTTGTTTGTTTTTAAAAGAGTTCCTTTGGGCCACTGATTTAAAAAGGCTGTTCAAACCCCTGCCTCTGCTTCCCACGCTAATTCATTGAATGTTAGAAAAGACAGAATGAGGTGGAAAGCTTTGAGTATGTGGTGACATGTATCAGAATTTAATAAAGTCTCTCCACAGAGGAAACTGTGTGAAATACTTTCTGTAACAGGGTATATTAAAGGGATGGTCTCTTTCATTAGGGTCAAAGTAATGATAGAGATTTTCTTGTAGGGGTTACAGTCAGTTTCATTACTTTATAATAAATGCTTCAGGCTTTAGAATGTGGCAAGGTTACACACCGCCTGGTCTTTCTCTTTTATGTATTTCTTCCTTTGATTTGTAAAGGGAGGGGATCATTTGTAAACCAGAATTACTTAAGAAAGAAGACTCTCCCAAGAAAACAATTTTTATTTTACCCTAAATAAAAGGCTTCATAAAGAGTAGGAGCATACATTAAAATGTACTTATCCTTATCATGCCTATTGCTTGTAGTCCTACTTGAATATGTTTTGGAGAAATAACAGAATGATGTGGCTCCCAAGTAGATTAGTTTTCAGAGGTGTCCTGAAACCACCTCTGAGACAGCATTCCCTGGGGCAGCCTGGTTGGATTTCTTCTGGACTGCTAAACAGAAAGCTTCTCAGGGAAATGGAGAAGCTGTTCAGTGCTACGTTCTTCCAAAACATATTGCTTACCCATGCCACTGCTGATGGGCCCTTGTAGTGTCATGTAGTATAGAGTTGGTGATCAGAATTTTGGGGTGTTAAGATTTGAAAAAAAACTACTTTAGAAATTGTACAGCCCTAGTAAGAGAAACAGTGAGGACTTGAGACTTAAGAAGCTTGTGACTTTTTTTCATGAAGAGAGGGTTTGAGTCATACTAACAATTTCCCTTTACACTTATTCTGGATTGAAATTCACTTTATTCTTTAGAGAAAATGTCCAGACAAATATTTTATGGACTCTTGAAGATAAGTCTTGGCTAGTTTAGAAAAAATAAAAGTGATGTTGTAGTGGAGGCTTTCTAAGCCATAGGATGTATTTTAGAATATCCTCAGAGCCTTATGATTTTTGAGCTGACTTGCCCCCTTCCTCCAGGTAGTATGTTCTCTGATAGGATGGTTGACTTATTTTTACATAAACTTGTCAAAGCTTTGGTTATTGGGCAGGGTGGGGGGGCATTCTCTTAAATCTTTTTATTTATTTATTTTTAAAATTGACAGATAAAAATGTATGAATTTATTGTGTATAACATGATGTTTTGAAGTATATATACATTGTGGAACAGTTAAATCTAGCTAATTAATAAATGTCTTACCACACATTGTTATCACTTTTTGGTGAGAACCCTTAACATCCACTCTTAGCATTTTTCAAAAATACAATATATCGTCATTAACTATAGTCACCATGCTGATCTCTTGAACTCATACCTCTTATCTAATTGTAATTATCTATCCTTTGACTGTTAGGAGGAGAGGGAGATGGGGAGACATTGGTCAAACTTATTTTTCTGACTTGAATGAATCACAAACTGTAGTTTTCGATTCCACTTTTAGCTGTAATCTGCCCTTCTGTGTACCTATAAAGTAAATCCTGTCTAAGTAGGAACCCAGGATAGAGTTACATGTTCTCAAAAGGTCATGTACCAACCGCAGTTGCTGAGTAATTGTTCCTGCATCTAGGGATGTTTATAACAGTCTTATTTCCATTTATTTCTGCAGAGTGTAGTGAAGCTGATGAGGGGACTGCTGCATTGCATGATCAGACAGGTATGGATGGCATTGGTAACAGATTCCTCTCTAATAAAAAACACATTGTAATAGTATCTTTATCCCTTAAGGAATGTACACACTAATTTTAGAAAATTTGGAAAGCTGGGGGTGGGGAGGAATGTCACTTGCAATCTCACCACCCAGTTACCACTAGAATGTTTCCTTCCTGCTTTTTTTCCCCCTGTACAAAATGATTTTTTAAATGTGCTTCATCATTACTGTACATGCAATTATGTATATCGGGGAAAATATTATATAGGTCTGAAAACCCTCATCTGAAATGCTAGGGACCAGATCAATTTTAGAATTAAGAATTTTTCAGATTTTAAAAAGGTAATACAGAGCATATACCATATATTGTATTATGGCCTCAATGGGTCCAGGACAGCACTCTGTAATCAAAAACATTAATATTTCTTGTGGGGAATCATGCATTTTCATACTAAGTGGATAAATAAAGTCTATATATAGCCCTATGTCAATTTGGGTTTTTTTTCTTGGTTATGAATATTTATTTAAAAAGCTGATTGTCCCCACTCGTGCCCAATTATCCCCAACCTCCCTCCCCTCCCCCATACCCCCACTCCGCTTTGTATCCCTAGGTATGTTCTCTCCCTCTGCAAGTCCAACACACTACTGTGGTTTTTCTTTCCTTCCTTCTTACTCTCTTAGCTCTCACTTATGCGTGAGGACATGAGGTATTTATCCCTCTCTGCTTTGCTTATTTCACTTGACATAAGTTTCTCCAGGCTCATTCATGTTGTTACAAATGGGAGAATTTCATTCTTTTTTATGGCAGAGTAGTATTCCATGGTGCATACGTACCACAGTTTTCTTATCTAATTGTACACTGATGGACATTTAGGTTGGTTCCATATCTTGGCTACTGTAAACAGAACTGCGATGAACATGGGAGTGCAGGTATCACTTCAACATGATGATTTCCATTCCTCTGGGTATATACCCAGCAGTGGCATTGCTGGACCATATGGAAGATCTATCTGTAGTTGTTTGAGAAGCCTCCATATTATTTTCCATAGTGGTCATACTAACTTACAGTCCCACCAACAGTACAGGAGCGTTCCCTTCTCTCCACACCCTTCCCAGCATTTGTTATTCACCATCTTTTTTATTATAGCCAAGCTAACTGGGGAAAGATGATATCTCAATGTGGTTTTAGTTTGCATTTCCCTGATGACTAGTGGTGTTGAGCATTTTTTCATGTATCTGTTGGCCATTTGTATGTCTTCCTTTGAAAAATGTCTGTTCAGTTCCTTTGCCCATTTTTTAATTGGGTCATTTGTTTTTTATTGTATAATTGCTTGAGTTCTGTGTATGTTCTGGATATTAGTCCCTTGTCAGATGCACAGTTACCAAAAATTTTCTTGCACTCTGTAGGTTGTCATTTCACTCTGTTGATTGTTTCCTTTGCTGTGCAGAAGTTTTTTAGTTTGATATAGTCCCATTTATTTATTTTTTCTTTTGCTGCTTGTGCTTTCAGGCTCATGTTCATAAATCCTGTGCCCTGACCTAACTGTTGAAGTGTTTCACCTATATTTTCCCTTAGTAATTTTACAGTTTTGGGTCTTATACCTAGGTCTTTAGTACATTTTGAGTTGATTTTAGTGTATGGTGAGAGATGCATATCTAGTTTTATTCTTCTTCATATGGATATCCAGTTTTCCCAGCGCCACTTGAAAAGAGACAATCTTTTCCCCAGTGTAGATTTTTGTTGCCTTTGTCTAATATCCGATGACAATACACCTGAGGAGTGATATCTGGGTTCTCTATTCTACTCCACTTGTCTGAATGTCTATTTTTATACCAGCACCATGCTGATTTGGTTACAACAGCTTTGTAGTATGACTTGAAGTCAGGCAGAGTTATGCCTCCACCTTCGTTTATTTTCCTCAGGATTGCTTTGGCTATTCGGGGTCTTTTGTTTTTCCATATTAAGGGTAAGATTGTTTTTTTTTTCCATTTCTGTAAAGAATGTCATTGGTATTTTGATGGGCATTGCATTGAATCTGTAGATCACTTTGGGTAGTACAGACATTTTCACAATGTTAATTCTTCCAATCCAAAAGCATGGAATATCTTTCAATCTCTTTGTGTCTTCTTTAATTTCTTTCAGAAGTGGTTTGTAATTCTCATTGTACAGGTCTTTCACCTCCTTCGTTAAATTGATCCCTAGGTATCTTATTTTTTTCTTGACAATTGTAAATAGGCTTACTTTCTTTATTTCTCTTTCTGTTAATTCATTATTTGTGTATATAAATGCTAATGATTTGGGGGCATTTATTTTGTATCCTGCAACATTACTGAAGTTGTTAACCAGCTCTAGGAGTTTTTTACTAGAGTCTTCAGGTTTTTCTATATACAGTATCATGTCATCTGCAAATAGGGAAAGTTTGACTTCATCTTTTCCAGTCTGGATTCCCTTTATTTCTTTCTCCTGCCTGATTGCTCTAGCTAGTACCTCCAGTACTATGTTAAATAGAAGTGGTGAGAGTAGGCATCATGTCTTGTTCCTGTCCTTAAGGGGAAGGCCTTCAATTTTTCCCCATTCAGAATGATGCTGGTGGTTGGCTTGTCATAAATGGCTTTTACTATGTTGAGATACTTTCCTTCTATACCTAATTTGTTGAGAGTCTTTATCATGAAAGAATGTTGAATTTTGTCAAATGCTATTTCAGCATCTATTGAGATAATCATATGGTCTTTGTCCTTAAGTTTGTTGATGTGATGTATCACATTTATTGACTTTTGTTTGTTGAACCATCCTTGCATCCCTGGGATGAATCCCACTTGATCATAGTGTACGATTTTTTAAAATATGTTGTTGTATTCTGATTGCTAATATTTTGTTGCGTATTTTAGCATCTAGATTCATTAAGGATATTGGCCTATAATTTTCTTTTTTCATTGTGTCTTTATCTGGTTTTGGTATCAGAGTTATGTTGGCCTCATAGAATGAGTTTGGGAGAGTACTGTCTGTTTCAATTGTTTGGAATAGTTTCATGAGAATTGGTATGAACTTCTCTTTAAAAGTTTGATAGAATTCTGCTATAAAACCATCCAGACCCGAACTTTTTTTGTTGGAAGATTGCTAATTTCCACTTCAATCTCCTTGCTTGTTATTGGTCTGTTCAGGTTTTCTATCTCTTCTTGGTTCAGTCTTGGTAATTTATATGTGTCTACAAACTAATTCATATCTTCTAGACTTTCAAATTTGTTGTCATACAGTTGTTTATAATAGTCTCTAATGATTCTTTGTATTTCTGTGGTGTCAGTTGTAATGTCTCC